ACCAAAAAATCAAAAAAAACAAAAATCTAAAATTAAAAAATCAAAAAATTGAACATTCGAAAAGTCAAAACATCGGAATGTTCAAAAACTGAAACATCGAGAAATCAAAACATCAACAGTAGAGGAGTCAAAAAATCAAAAAATTAAGAAATCAAATTAGACCAAAATTGAAAAATCGAAAAGTTAATAATTGAAAAATTGAAACATTTTTGCTTTTCCGATTTTTAAATTTTAGATTTTTTGATTTCTCGATTTTTCATTTCAGCTCTTCCATATTTCCATTTTTCAAATGTTTCGATTTTTTAATCTTTCGATTTTTCGACTTCTGTGTTTTAGATTTTCTGTTTTTCAATTGTCGTTTTTCCAATTTTTCGATTTTTAAATTTTAGATTTTTCGATTTTTGGATTTTTCATTTCAGTTCTTCGATGTTTCAGTTTTTCAAGTTTTCGAATTTTTCAAATGTTTTGATTTCTTAATCTATCGATTTTTCGACTTCCCGGTTTTAAATTTTCTGTTTTTCAATAGTCGTTTTTTCAAATTTTTCAAATTTGACATTTATAAACTGTCAATTTTTAGATTTTTCAATTAATCGATGTTTTGATTTTCCCATTTCTTGACTTTCGAGGGTTTCGATATTCCTCTTCTTCAATTCTTTAATTTTTTGAATTTTCAGATTTGTGATTTTTCAATTTTTCGATTTTTTGAAGGTTTCGATTTTTCGACTTTACTTTTTTGATTTTTCGATTGCTCAATTTTTCGATTCTTTAGATTCTCAGTTTTTGGATATTTCAGTTTTGGGATTTTTCAACATTTCGATTTTTCGACTTCCTGGTTTTAGATTTTCAGTTTTCAATTGTCGTTTTAAATTTTTCGATTTTTCAATGTTTTGATTTCCCGATTTAGTTTTCTATTTTTAGTTTTTCTTTCATTTTTCAGTTTCACGTTTTCAAATTACACCAAAATTGAAAAATCGAAAACTTAATAATTGAGAAATTGAAACATTTTAAATGAAAAAAATCGGTAAACCGAAAAACTGAAAAATCTATAAATCGAGAAATTGAACAATCTAAAAATTAAACAATTTAAAAATCGAAGAATTGGAAAACCAAAAAATCTAAACCGAGAACTTGAAAAATCGAATAATCGAGAAATCAAAACATCAAGGAAAACAAAAAAATTAACGGAAAATGTAGAACTTAAAAATTGAAAAATTAAAATACCTATCGAAAAATTGAAAAACCGAGAAATCGAAACATCAAAAAATGGAAAAATTGAAGAACCGAAACATTGCAAAATCCCAGAACTGAAATACTGAAAAACTGAAAAATGGAAAGAAAATTCTAAAATCGAAAAAGTGAAAAAATTCCAAACTGAAATCTTGAAAAACTGAAAAATGGAAAGCAAATTGAAGAATCGGAAAAGTGAAAAAATCCAAAACTGAAACATTGAAAAATTCAGAAATGGAAAAATTGAAAAATCACAATTGAAGAAAGAATTGAAAAATCGAGAAATAGAGAAATGGGAAAATCAAAAAATCGGTTAATCGAAAAATTGAGAAATCGAAAAATTTAGAAACGTCAAAAATTGAAAACTGAATAATAAAAAAAAATTAAAAATCGTAACACTGAAACATCGGAAAATTGAGAAATCGAAAAATGAAGAAATTCCAGAAACCGAAAATATCAAGAATCGAGAAATCGAAGAATCGATAAATTGAAAAATCCCAACAGTAATATGTCGAAAAATTGAGAAATCGAAATCGGGCAAAACTGAAGTACCGTAAAGTTAATAAATTGAAAAACTGAAAATTTTTGAAAAAAATTCGTATCAAAAACTAAAAATTCAAAAAATCGAGAAATTGAACAATCAAAAAATCAAAACATTGAAATCCCAGTAAGTTGATAAATAGGAAAATTTAAAAAACAAAAATTTTCAAAATCCAAGAATTGAACAACAAAAAAAATCTAAGCCTGAAAACTCAGAAAATCGAATGATCGAGAACTCAAAACATCAAAGAAATCAAAAAATCTAAAATTTAAAAATTCGACAAATTGAAAAATCATGGAACTGAAAAATCGAAAAGTCGAGATAGTGAGAAATCTAAAAACCTAAAACTTTAAAAACTGAAAAATTAAAATATCGAAAAATTTAAAAACCGAGAAAACACAATATCAAAAATTTGAAAAATTGAAGAAACGAAATATTGCAAAATTCCAAAGCTGAAATATTGAAAAACCTAAAAATGGAAGGAAAATTAAAGAATCGAAACAGTGAAAAAATCCCAAACTGAAACATTGAAAAATTGAGAAATGAAGAAATCAAAAAAATCGTCTAAAGAGTTTAGACAGTACTTCCCTCACTATCGGAAACGTGACGACTGCATGCCTATTATGTTTTTTTTCCACATTAGATTTCAAAGCATTCGGTTTTGTAGTTTCTGATTAAATCAATAAAATAAATTTGCGCATTCATTAAATTTTTTGAGTCACCCTGTATATCCGAATCCAAAAAAATATGAATGGAATGATAAATTACAAGAGACATATTTTGTATATCGGCTACTAGACCCGCCCACCCACCCTCTCTTTTCTTAGAAGGTATGTCACTTGCAAAAGTCACTTTTATCTTAGCAGCTGCTATCCCCACCCACCCGCCGTCTCTTTTCTTAGAAAGTATCTCATCTGCCAAAATCGATATTTTCTTAGCAGGTGCTAGCCCCGCCCACCCACCCTCATTTTTCTTAGAAGATTGGGTCATCTGCCAAAATCAGTCTTATCTTATCAGCTACTAGCTCTCCCTCTCTTTTCTTAGAAAGTATGCCATTTGCCAAAATCAGTTTTATCCTAGCTAATAGCTGCTAAGCTAAAACTGATTTTGGCAAATGATATAGACTCTAAATAGAGGAAGGGTGGGTGGGCGGGCCTAGCACCTCCTAAGGTAAGACTGATTTTGGCAGATGAAATACATTGTAAGAAAAGACAGGGTGGGGGGGTGGGGTACAAGTAGTTGCTAAGATAAAACTGAATTTAGCAGATGCTAGGTCCGCCTCCCCGCCCTCTATTTTCTTAGAGAGATCTCATTTGCCAAAATCAGTCTTATCTTATCGGCTACTAGACCCGCCCACCCACCCTCTCTTTTCTTAGAAGGTATATCACTTGCAAAAGTCACTTTTATCTCAGCAGCTGCTATCCCCACCCACCCGCCCTCTCTTTTCTTAGAAAGTATCTCGTCTGCCAAAATCGATCTTTTCTTAAAAAATCGCAGTCATACGCTTTTTGTCTTTTGGGCATAAATGACTTCCTTATATCCTAAAACTTCTATAAAAATGATTTTTGCCGTTTGTGCACGTCTAGTTTAATTTTTATTGGAGTCCAAAATACGAAAAAACACGATTTTAACACTTTTCAAAAAAATAATACCTTGCCCAATAATTATAATTTAAATAAATTCCTTGCCATAAATTAGAAAAATCAGCCGAGAATGCTAACAATCAGCTTATGGTAGAGCAGGCGATAAGAGTTTTACCTGGAAAGTCGCTTCCGTAAATTTTAGTGGCGCTCCTATCGGCAAAGTACTGAACTAACGGCTCAAATTCTGTCGAATTGATACCCATTTTTTTCAATAATTGTTAGTTTTTGTTAAAAACTCTGCTAAGCAATAGATCAGTAATTTTCCTCTGATATTCCTGTTAAAATTATTCGACGTATTTTGCTTTAATTTGTGGTATATTTTCATTTTAATAAACACATTATTATTTAAACAAATTGTACCACTAACGAACATTTAGTGACTCTGCGCCCTGTAAGAAGTGATGTTTTATCCATGTGCGAATTTTTAAGCGATTCTATGATGGTTATGACTCAAAAAACTTGAAAAGAAAACATACAATGGCTCTTTTTTTAAGATATTTCTCAGCCATATTTTTTTAATTGATTAAACTGGTCTCTGCGCTCTAGAGTATGAAAAAAGCTGCAGTTTGATGTATGATACATCTATATTAATATCATTTTTTCATACAAAAAACCAAAAAAATGTTATACCTCGTCTAGCGAGTCCCCTTAATATAATATGCACTGCCGACAAACCAAGAAGGATATAAGTCAACCGTATCGGTGACTAAAACAGGATTGTCGCCTGGTGCATATTATTCACGGTATTATCTAACTGTGGCCGATTTTCATTCACGGATCAGTTATTAATTATATTTCTTTAGAAAAGATTTTACGTCAAGCTTGAGGTTGTTATTTGTAAAGCGGCCTGCGAATGTTCCCGTATTAATTTTCATTACTAAAGGAACCGCGAGATAATAAATAAACGACTATTGTTTAGACGTGAAAATGCACTGCTGCAACCCACAATACACTTCCATTTTATTGTTGACTTGGAGTTCAAAACAACAGTAATTTATTAGTGTTCCGCACCGTACAATTCTGTTATACGCGTTGTAATTTAATAAACTAATTGTGGAGCTGCAACAAATTAAAAAAATACAGGTGATTAAAGCAGTTATTTACGGTACAAGCGGATAAAAATCGATTTTATCCACGACCGCAAAGTTTAGTAACGAGGCGATTTGGGGAACGATTCAAATTTCTTGACGTTTTTTTCTAATAACCATTTTTTTACAAAACTACCAGCGTTAACACAAAAATGCCACAAAAATCCGCTGAAAGCAAACAATCGATTCAATTTTCCGTGCTTCCAAACCGCTGCAAAATTTATTTCTGTTAATTAAAACGTCTATTCCAAACGTTTTATATTCAGGTTCAAACATCGCATGCAACGGCGAAAAAATGACTTTTCCCTGTTGCTACAAATGCACGCCCTCAATAAATCAACCTCTGATCAACAAAAATTACTGTAATCAATGGTTTGAATAATCGCATGCACATTCACAATACACGTCGACATTTTTACAGACGAAACCGTTTTTAAACTGTCTTAAAAGCAAACGTGCCCGTCCAACTTAATCGTTACTTGCTGTGGAAAAAATCGCCCCTGCCAGAAAATCCGTTTAATAAAATAAAAAATACACAAAAGCACCCTATCTCTTCTCCTCCGCATTACTCCTATACACCTTCCTTCTGTTCCTCATGACGTTCTGCTTGGCCTCGTTAGCCGCCGCTGCCGCCTTCCTCGCCGCCTCTTTTGTGGTGTTCAGTTCCGTCTTCGCCACCTGCAGCTGCTTCTTCAGCTGCTCCAACCTGGGAAAGCCACGGAAATCATCAAAATGAACAATGTCTAGGCTCACCTAGTGGTTGCGGCATCCATCAGCTGTTCCTTCTCGCTTAGCTGCTGCTGCACCCCTTCTTGCGCCTGAGCGGCGTTAGCTTCGTTCCCTTGGGCTAGCTGCAAAGCGGTGGACAGCAGCTTCACCTCGGCCTGGGCTTCCTGGACGGCTTTAGAGGCGGCTTGCGCCGTGGCTTGCAGCTGCTGCAAACTAGCTTGCTCCTCCTGGACTACTATCTCCGCCTCCTGGATTTCCTTCCGCAGCTGCTCCACTAGCTCCTGTTTACCTGCTAGAGCAGCCTCGGCCGCCTTGGAAGCCTCCATGGCCTTTTCGGCTAGCTGCTCCTTAACCTGGTGCGCCGCTTGCTGGCCGGCCTGTTGCTGAGCATCTTCGGCTGCTTTGGCCTCCTGGGCTGCTTTCTGGGCAATACTTGCCGCCTTTTGGGGAGACACCGCGCCGGTTTTGCATGCTCCTCCTCCTCCTCCTCCACCTTCTTTGGGTCGATCTTCACCTGCAGGTGCGCAGGGTGTGCAAACAAGGTGCAGCAGGATTAGGATCAACGGTAGAAAGTTCATTGAGTTGAGACTGTCATGGAGGGAATTTTTCGGGCGAACGTCACTTGCCAAATGTGACAGGATCGAGAGGGTCGTGGAAGTGTAAAAAATCCGTCCTTATACCATGACGGCGATTTGGCCAAACGTTGTCGTCGTCGGTTTGACAGTTCCAGCGGCTGCACCAAGGCCGCGAGCGCTCTTTCCTCGGAACCTGTTGGCTCGTCAAAATTTCCTCGTACCACAATGGCACCGTCGTCCCATTGCGATTGCGTACAGATATTGGGGCCAGTGGCTTAGTGGGTATGCGTACCGCCGCGAGTCTCAAGGCTGCACAGGTGAACTTGCGCAACATCATCGCGACTCGGCTCCGGAGGCCCTCTCCGGAGGCAAAACCAACAAAACTTTGGGGGTCAACAAAATAACGGGAACGTGGACCCAGCACGGACTTAATGCTAGGTTTGCGATAGAATTTCGCAATTTGGTGGTACGGCACCGGAAATCTGGACGAAAGTCGGTCGGAACGGACAAAATGTTTGGGTCGTAAATTTCGGACGTGGGAGGGACCCACGTTGAGTTCGGGTAATTTGTTCGATGGAGAGATAAAATTTGCATAATTGGGAAGTGTTGGGTGTTTTTGAACGACCCGGGGTTACGACACGGTGACATAATGAGCGCGGAAGGGGAAACGGCGCTGCGGAGCTTCCAAAAAATTCGTAAGACCTATCTCGGTACTAACAATTCACAGCGACGTGTTTTCTGTCTCAAGGATAATTACAGTATTGTTCATTTTTTTAATTATCTCGGTTCATTACGGGCCTAATTGCCCTTTTCTTCCCCGTCGTTTATCGTTTATCTTTCAATTTCATATGGGAAGAACGACCGACGGCTGCAGTACCCACTCTGAATTCCTCCCATTGATAAAAATTTTAATTAAAGCTCAATAATTAAAAACAGAATTCTTGGTGCATTCCTGGCGTTCTCCAATTATGATTCTAGCCAAAAATGAATTTCTGCATCGGTGTCATCAACCGGAAAAATGTTGTCTATTCTGTGGTAAAAAATGGCAGCGGAATCCGGCCTCGCCTCCACAGGACAGTAAACTTTAGCATATTTTTTTGGCGCTCGACAATACATCCATTAGAGCGTTGTCCATAATTCAATAAGCCTCTTATTGTGATTACGCCCGATAGAAATATTGAATGGGACGGTTAATTTAGCGAATTTAGTACGCTAGGTACAATTATGGAATTTTTACCGTCGCGGAGACGACGACCATTTCAAGGTGACGCGATTTTCACTTTGAAATTTTGACAAGCGTAGAACACTCGTTCGACGACTTCGGGGGAAAAACGACGATTAATTATTAAGAAGCAAGGTCAAGGCACATCAAAAGTCTTTTCGTCCATATTCGAGGACATATTTTTATGGTAATTTGCGACAGGCGGCTAATTAATGCATGGGTGTAGAAACAACTAATATTTGTTGTGACTTTTATGGTTTATTATCGCTCGGAAATATTTCGCAATTGGGTTCTCTTGAGCAGCTGGCGAGCGAGTTTTGGAACATTTTTTTCCCTCGACATTTAACTAATTGTTCGTGATTAGTATTCGACGAAACAAAAATGTTCTCGAATCGTCGGAATGAAAATGGATTTGCTCGAGTACTGTTAGAACGCCTGAACATCCACCGTTTAGATAACAGTTGCATTTTTTCGATCCCTGACCTTTCAGAGACTTATTCTAATAACGTGAAAGAGCAAAATGACTTTCATATTTGTTTAAATGCTGTATAGCAAATAGAAACGCGATAGGATCGTTTGTAGTTGCCGCGCTTTGTTGACAGATGATGCGAGGGTGCAATTAACCAATCGTGGCGCGTCGACGACTAACGCACCAATCGTCGCATTTCCCGCCCGACAAGGTGCCGCCGTTCATAATTATAAAATTTTAAGCCTCGTAATTAAATTTCCGCCGGATTAACCTGAAAATCCCGGTTCTCGCCTAACGTCAACAAACTCTTCGTTTCTGTATCTAGCCAAGATACAACGCGGAACTACAAAAACACACAACGATGATATTTTAAGAGGAAAATGTTGACTTTGGAATAATCTCGTACGAAGTTGGCGAATTGTTTCATTTACATTAAAGCTTCCTTCCGGGTATGCGGCCTCTACTCTACTAATTCAAAAAGTTGTAACAAAGTAAGGAACAAACGACGGCGTTTTCTGCGAAGGGTCACTATCGTAATAAAATTTAATGACATCGACGTCTGTTCTTTTCTGATTTACGCCAGGTGTGTTTTGTCGGGTTTTTTCATGGGTGGCTTTTATGCATACGGTCGCTAAACATCGTAAATGCTCTGTGTACGGGGTTTTAGTGCTCGCGAAATGCCATTTCTTCTTCAAAGGCGTCAACGTTAAAGAAAATAAACAGCCAGACTTTAAACAAACATTACAAAGTGTAAATGTCGCTGCGGAGTGCAAAAGTGTCGCGACTTGTTTGAGTTTTTACTGGAGGCTGCTAATGGGTCGCTACCGCAGGAATGTTTAACAGAATGATGGTTTGAATATCGCCGCTTCTTGCCACTCGAATTGCGAAATTATAACATTTCCAATTATGTTACATCCTGGCTTGAAATTACATCGAAAAGTTCGTCGCGCTAAGCACAATACAACTAATATCTCTAATGGAGTTGTTCGTGCCTCAGCGCGCGTAACAGCAAACTGAATAACTTGAAAATTCCGGGCTCATTTTTGTGTCTCGGTCGACATGCAAAACTCGATGACTTGACGACCGCCGCCTCTGCCCCCCAGCAAATACCGGCAGCCTCTGCACCAATTCTATTCAAATTATTCCAAGAACCCTTGACATAATCGTGTCGGAACGTCCTACGAGACGTTCCTTTTAAGAAACGGACTCGGATGAAAAAATCGGAAATCACTTTCACACCGCGTTCGTCGTACTTTCTATAGTCGAAAATCAGCGATTTTCTCTTTCGTTTGTTTGCAGAAGAGGCCGATGAACACCGGCTAATTTATGGTAATTAGGGTTTTGCGTTTCTTCGGGTAAGGTGATGCTCTCATGCTCTCAAAGCAAGATGTTAAATGCCGGATGAATTATTTATACTGGCGGACGATTTTAATGTCAATAGGTTTTTTGTATGGGTCGGGAGCTCGAGGACGACGAGGACATGGACAATACGCAGAGGAAAGACTTTTATAAATTACGTGGATACTTATATTTAGTACAGCGACGTGAATCGTTCGAAAAACTCAAATGTTTTACTGCGTAATGAACCTGAGCATCGACTCAGATCCATTACGTTGACAGATGACCTTGAAATCACTTGCCATTTGACAGATGGGACTATTTCGACAGAAAAAACGTCGTTTTTAATAACACCTGACTCATCTTCTTGGCGTTCTCTTACCCAACATGCAACTTAAATGATTGTCAATACAATAGAGATGTTTACAGCGTTCCACAAATAGTTGTAATAAGCGTCCCAGTTTTGGCAAGCTTTTATGGTTCTTTACAAGTTCCGTGAAAGCTTCGACGTTTTTTTTACGTAACCTTTCTTGGATAAGAAACAAGTTTATAAATTTTTAACGTTTGTAGATCTAATTAGCACATACAGTACAAATGACGTAAAATCACTTAGACACGAAGATAGCTGAACAGTACTGTTCAAATTAGTTTTATGGCAAACTGATTACGGATAACGCGGCTAGAGCGAAAATAGTGCGAGAAGAACGCACCAATTGAACGTCGAAATTCAGCGTGTTCTTCCCATAGTGTCGCCACTCTACAAAAAATTGAAATTATTGCAGAGTTGTGTAGTTTTCCGGACCTTCACCTTCCCACTCTTCGCCTTACATTGTGGCATTTCATCCGTTCTAGTTCATTTCCGCTAAATTTGATTTGTCCGGTGACAGCTGTTCTCTAAACAGCCAAGAAAGTGACTTCTGAGAAGCAAATACCAAATCGATAAAAAAAATCCTTGAAAACCTGCTTCTAAAAACCTGGGCGTCATTCACCACCCCCGAAACCTCGATTCAACTCCTAAATCCCACACATTTTCAAAAACCCCAATCAAACCTCGAATCCCATTAATTTTGGATTCGTTTCGGTAATAAAATCCGCAATCTCAACAAATCGTAAATAAAAACTCCCGAAACCAGCGTTTCTTATCTCGGAATGAATAACGCCCCAGAAAAGTACCATTTCGTACTCGCCTTATCAGGTCATCCCGGTCGATCCCAGAACCCACGAACCACCACTACCACCACACCACACCTCCACCCAGCACTGCCACCCACACGCGGCGAAATTCCCGAAAATCGCGCACTTCTCGTCCGGGAACGACTTCAGAGCGTTTCGGCGCGAACAAGCCGCGAAACTGAAGACAAGCCAACTCGATTCCGTCGCGCTCGGATCCGCGATGAACAGCTGATTTGTGTGAGGAAAACAGAGGTGGCTGTGGCTATTAGATCGCGATTCGAACTTGAACACATGATTGGCCTACAACGCTCACAGCCTACTGTGTGACTCACTCGGATCCATAGAGTTGAGGTTGAGGAAGTGCAGGAAGGTGTTGCGACACCTGGGATGTGGGATCGACCGGAAATGGGCAAACGGGTGAATGGGAGGGTTTTTTGACGGGAGTCGGTGCGGGGACCCGGGGGCGAAAGACATTTGCGTCTGTTGGTTTTTGTCGTTTTGGGTTTTGTTGTATAAGGAAGTGCTAAAATTGTGACGCGAAGGTTGAAGAGGGAAGAGAGGAGGTTGAATGGTTGGGATGTTCGGCTTGAGCGCTGATGGATGGGTAGAGGAGATGGAGGAAAGGAGTTGGTTGGTAGGTGGCGCTGCAAGATAAAAATGACGACGGTTTGCTTTCTGAGTTTCTTATATGTAGAGCTTTTTCAACAACTGCCTGACTTCGAGTTCTAGAAATAAATCATAAGTGGACGATTTAAGTGCCGTTTTATGTTGTATTAGAAATTGAAAATGTTGAAAACAATAGTATCATATGTGATAGCACCAACCTCCGGAGATAAACATGAATAACTTGTTATGGAAATTAATCACTCTTATGGGACAGTGATCAATGAATATAATGTACGTGGGAGCACTTCAATTTTCAGCTACTATAACTCTAATTTTTTTTTTTAAAGAAGTGTATATTTTCTGATGAAAGGTTACTCATTTTCAGTGGACTACGGAGTAAAAGTTTGTAACAAACCAATTTTTTTAATTATACAAGGTGTTCCATTCAAAAATTGCTTTTACCATTGTAGTAGGGTCCATGTTAC